ACGCTATATTGTCATGAATATACATAGGTCACAGAACAGATGTGAATTTGAAGGAAGGCAAGAAATTTTTCCATATCACACTCTGTGGTGAAATTGGAGAGGAAAAAAATTGTATTTGCTGTAGCAATCGAATACATAAATTATTTTTCGTGTATTCACCCCATTAAGTTTAAAGTGATAAAGCGGCTGGTAGTTGGAGGTGCTGATGAGGCATAGGCCAATTCGAACCTGCAGTCCACCTTGAATAAGAATGCCTTTTGATAAAGCAAGGCTATGTGAAATTTAATGGAAATCTAAGGTCTACTCATATGATTGTGGCAACGAAATAGGGTTTATATACCTAAAACATTTCTTATTTACTGCCGACTTCAATTTAAAGACCAAAAGTCTAAAATATATCTAATAAAAATATATAAATGAAAAGCGATTTAAGTAGAAATAAGAAAATAATTTGTGCACTTAAGGCAATTTTTTATTTTTCATAGAAATTTAATCTTATTATATTAACGCAAAGAGTGGCTTACATTTAATTATATAGCAATTTGTATACATTTATTTTATCCCACACAATTTATTCTACTTTTTTCTAAGGATTATAATCGGCTACAGTGACACTACTCTCACTCTCAAGCATCAGGGTCTTGATTTCAGAGACATGATCTCCTGTCTAAGTGAAGATGAACGCTATTTTATTTTTTTAAGAATGCTTACTGGAGATGAGATGAGCAAGCGAACTAAATTTGCCTTTATTACGTGGTGTGGAAACAATGTACCTGCAATGCGGCGTGCTCGCTTAGCAACTGACAAATCCCTTGTAAAAGATGTAGTCCAGGTAACAATAAATTCCATGTGTAGCAAAACTTTTTATCCTAATTCCCTTTCATGCCAGAAATGGAGGAAAGTTTCAAGCATCACTGACAACTATCCTTGATTTGAGCTATTTCAACACAGGTTGTTGCTTACGTTCAATCAAATAGCAAAACATTCCGGATCGCAAAAAGTATCATCAAGTTAAGGGGCGGCATAGATAGCAAGAATTTATAATTTTTTGACTCGCTTATATAGCTATGTTTGAGCCTCAGCGTTGTAAGCTTGAGAAATCTACAATGTTTTTAAAAGACGCAATGCTTATGTCTTATCGCATCATTGCAGAGTTATCGTCAATTAGACTATAAGTGATATATAAAATCCATATCATCGGAGAAATTTTGTGGCCCTCTATTTCTATGCTATGGTCCCCCATCTATTTCCCATCATAAAAGCAACTCACGTGATACCGTACGTTGTCTCTAGTAAAAAATAGAAAAGAGCCTGAAACAAGAAAATAGACGCGAGAATAAGTACGATAAAATTAGTATTTGAATTTGTGCAGACTGGTTTAATACGAAGTCTTCATGTAGTTAGCTCTATTCTATAATCTATAATAATCTGTCTAATAAAAGTAAACGTAATTATTTAAAATTATTGACGTTATTCCTGAGTCGACACAAAGACTTAACAAGTATAAATCCTTTTCTAGACCTCATTTCAATTTCATACATTTATTTGCTTATTAGCCGCGAGCCAAATACAAGGTGCTGACGAAGAAAATACTTGCAATAAATGCAAAAATAACATTGAATATACAAAGTAGTTTTGGAGCGCAAAATATCCAGTACGACGTTAGCTTACGCCGAACGATAATATTCGTAACTTGTGCTATACTAGAATATCAGATAACATTGTTAGGGGAAACTTCATTTCGAATGAAAGTACATGATGAAGAGATTCGTTTGTCGTTCTC